GAAAAAATACGGGCAAAATAAAAAATCATTTCTACAGTGGCTTCACAAAGTAGACAAACAGGACGTTACCGATTTTTATTATTACTTATTACGCCTTATATTCTTAACAAATTTATCAATAAAATTACTTAAGAAATATCCGAATTAAAGGAGTATTTGATTATTTTTCAATTCTGAAACTAACATACATATCTTGTAATTGTACACAATTTTTGCTAACCCACTGTTCAACTACCCGGCGTTCGGTCGCCTTCACTTAGCGTTTTCCTCCACAAAAGCCCAAAGGCGTCAGCTAGTAACGACCAGAAAAGAAAGAAGAGAACAACAACAATAACAAATGGTGTCTGGTGTAAAAGGTGTAAAAGGAAAAGAGGAAAAGGCGTCTGAAAAGCGTTTGACTTTCGCAATGGTCAGAATCGCGCTTTGCATACAACTGTAAAATGCAAGCTGTAGCTGCTTTTGGCCTTTACACATTTCGTTTTGGCCTATTTGCCGGGGCGAACCATGATTCAAAACGCTTTTCAAGTGCCGGCGCATTAATCTCAGGTGTGCAATTTAGTGTGCGTCCAATTTTTGTCGGTCTAGCCAAGCCGGAAGCCGGACCCGGCAGCCGAGAGAAAGCCCAGAGCTTTGTGTTGACCACACGGTGTTGCACGTTGTGTGTTGCACAAATACATACACACACACGCACACACAAACGAAGCGAGTGAAATGTTGGGAAATTTAAAACGGAACTCCGCGTTTTATGCCCTCTTTGGCTTTTATTGTTAGCTGCGAACTCGAACCACCTTAACTTTTACACTTCCGTGTCCAAGTTGCGCGCAACTCTTTAAATTTCATGTAACTGCATTTGCTTTAAAAACTTTACGAACTTATTTTGCTGCTGCTCAACTTTTGTTCTACATTTGCTCAGCCATGTTAAACAGCAAAAAAAGAAGTTAACAGAAGAGTCGAAGAGCTAGAGAAACGTGGCACAGCTCGAACTGTGGACAGCAAAATGGCTCTGGCCATAATTTTCAGCTGACAACAAAGAGAGAGAGAGAGGGGAGAGAGATTGAAAAACAGAGAGCGCGAGAGAGACGGAGAAAAGTAAAGAGAGAGTGCGCGTTACGAAAACTTTTGATAATTGCATTTTGCAAGCGGCTTCGACTTGAAGTGGCCAACATAATAAACTCCGCGACGAACCGGATGCAGCAGGAGCAGGAGGCAGGAAGTGCAAGTAGTAGACCTAACCCCAAAAGTATCTACAGTCTATAAAGCTTTTGGCGCTGCATCAACACCAGACAACAAGACAATCAGCGGCGTCTGTGGACCACATAAAATAACCGAAAAGTAATTCGCCACCAAAGTAAACTCGAGCACACAAAAGTCGGAGTTTTAAAATAAACTTGTAGCAAACTGTATTTTTCTTATGAAAGTGCGGAAGGGGCTGCGCGGCAGCCGGGGCACTCGAGGCACAAAAGGCGCATTTTATATAAAGGAAAAGTGGCTAACTAAGTCGACGACGAGACCGGCGACTAGTCTCCACGTTGCAGCTGCAGCTGCAGTTGCTGCTGCTGCTGAGTGGCCTCAGACTCAAGAGTCATCTATGAGCAGCCGCAGATGCTTCTCTCCATCGACCGTGCACCACCACTCACAACGCCTGCCCTTGCCCCACGCATGCCAAGACACGCGCTGCGGTTGTCTTGTTGATTGCACCATCCGAACGTTGGAGGCAGCGAGCCGCTGAGTGAGCACAAAATTGAGTGGAGGAGTCCACTTGAAAGCTGAAATTTAAGCTGATTTCGTTTGGAATTTTGTTTCTGATGCCGGTCATTCTGCTGGCTGCAAAGTGTTGCCTACTTTTTAAAAAGACGTCATTGTTTGAAAAGAGTTTGAGATCTATCATAGATAGATAGTTGGGCATTAAGGCAGCTGATGAGAGAAGTTATTAAAGTTGAAAATTTCTGCAGCGACACGTGAGGCATAGGGCACAGTCTTTAAGAATTAAATGAGCTGATATACTTATATAAAAATATCAAAAAATTGGTTTACTCACTCTTAAAAAAAAATAGTAACACAAATTAAATAAAACATTTGTTGTAACTTTCCTTTTTGGAACTATTTTAAGCACAAGAAATCAACTAACGCTAGAAAATTAAAGACCTTGCTATTTAAAAGGCGCCAAGGCAGGGATAACTAGGGATACACAGCAGAAATTGTTCGATGAGAAACTGTTGGAAAATATTTAAAATATACAAAATATATTCAAGCAGCATTGTGAATGCGAGAGTGACCCAAAAGTCGACTAAACATTAGGTGGAAAAGAAATTTAAAGCCAATTGCTTAAGTTCAGGTTCTTTCCGCTTAAAAGTCGTCCAAATAGGATTTATCTACACATTAGATAAATTGTTCTAAGCATCAATTAATTGGAAACCGAATTTATTTACATTCGAATTCGAATTAAAGATACATTTAATATGGCAAGCCTCAAATGTACTAGATCAAGCTATTAGACGTACCATTTACAGCTTGTTCTATCACGGAGGTCAATGTAAGTGTGAATGCGAACAGCACCGGATGATGACAGTCCAATGATATGACTAAGCACACCCAATGCGCCACTTTATTAGAGCTGAAATATGCTTCATGGCTGTTGTTGCTGTCGCATTTAAGTATGCTACACATTTCGCTTAGCCGGAGAGCCAGAGAGCTGGCATATCGGAAGTCTTTAGCATGGCGAACACGTAGCAAACGCACATTCAGCTTAAATACATGGATAAAATGTCGGACATTAAACCCAGCGAAGAAGAGGAGGACATCCGATGATATAGCTAAGGTAGCACAAGAAAAAAAAAAGAAAAAGAAAAAAAAGCACAATGATAAGAGCAATTTTTACCAAAAATTTGCTGACAAATTTTGCGCTTAACTTGGCTCAGGGATACAACAAAAAAATTATATTATAACTAAAATTGAAATTGAAGTTGCTTAAAATTTAAAATTTTGCACATATGAGCGGGATTGCTTTAGCTAAAGCCGAAAGCTGCAGCTGCCAGTCCAAGGAGTGCAGGACGCAGGACTCGAGCAGTCGGCGTGTGTGCAAGTATGTGTGTGTTGGTGGGCAAACATTTTTATGCAAAAATATTTTGCATGTCACTACCGAACGAGCTAGGAGGGCAGCGTGTGCTCCCGGGCTGTGTATTTGCCACAGACTTTTGCATGCATAACAAGTCAGCGAGACGCCGGGGCGAACGGACGGACAGGCAAACAGTGCAATAAAAAAACACACACACACTGTGGCAGACAGAGCAGGGCGCGGGCGGATGGTGCGTGGAAAAGGCAACGGCAGCGTCAGCGCACAGGAAACGCATACAAAACTTTAGCGGGCGCCCGGGCGCATTTCGTAATCTTTGCAAATAAACGCGTGAAATTCCAAGGCGCACCGCAGTGGCACATGTGCGCTGCTACACAAAGGGGCGGCGGTTGGCGGTTAAGGGTAGGGGGGGGGGGGGGGGGGGGTGCGGAAGTGGTGCGGTGCCAGCCGGTCGACATGGGACGTGGCAGCGTTGCGATGCCGCCATTTGGTCGACATGTGCCGCGCCATTTTGGAACACAGCTCAAACGCTAAATTGCGCATTCAGATTAAAATTCTTGAATGCGCATTTCCGTTTCCGTTTGTCTGCGTTGAGTAGTCGGATATGCCCGGTATTTTCCTAGCAGCGCCGCTCGTTACACACATATGATTTTTACTCTGGCCAATGTGGCTCTCCGCTTGCATTTTTCTGTGTGGGCGCTGTGGTTCACTGCAACCTTGAACTGACCCCACAGAAAAGTGGCACATTTGCTGGCATGAAATTTGGTTTCTGACGGAAACGATTGGATATCGAAGCGGTTCTTGATTCAATTAGTAATTTGAAAGGTAAATTGCTTTCACAGATCTCTATGTGATTTAATAAGCATTTATATATTGGGATATAGTTGTTTTGCTGTCGCATTTCATATAAATTTCACTAATGTAAAAGGAATTCATTGTTTGTTTTATCACGTGTTATTTTCGTTAAATTAATCAATTTATTAATTTATTAATCAAAATTTTTATCGTACGTCAAAATAATTTACTTATCAACAGTCGAGTATATACGAATTCCCGTCTTAAATTTATACTACTTTATGTAAAGATTTAATTCATGTTTGATAACCTTTTAATATCAAACATCTTATAGTATATTAGGGATAATATTTCCGATCGAACCCATAATAAAATTGTTTAAGATATAAACTTTTAAGGATTTTTTAATATTCAACAGCCCACATTTGTATGTACACTAATTGAAATAGTTTTATGGAGTCTAAAGACATAATTTGTGTGTGCAAGTTAAATCTTTAATATATATTTTATTAGCATAACACAGATTCCTATGTCGCTACACGCTCGTATGAGTAATATGGGTTGCTTAATGGCATATCACTCATACGCCTCATTGCATTAAAGAGCAAAGCGCAAGTTGCTTGCTATGCAGAACCTGTTCTGGTTTCCTATTGGAGCACAGGCCTTGAGGCCAACACCACATACATATTATTGGGCCAGCAAATGCTCAGGGTCAGCTACTGGCCCCTACCGTATTGCGTCTTTTTTTGCGTCCCAAACTTGGAAGCCCCAAAACGCACATCAAATAAAAGAAATGGCTTTGTTTGCTGCTTGTGGCATAGAATATCAAGCTGATAAGGGCCAACAGGAACAGACTGTGGAGCAGAGAGATTGGAGACAGGCGACTCGAGACGGGATGCGGTGTGGGTGAAGCTGGAGGTGGATTCGGAGGCGTTGTGTGTGCTGGCGCATAAATAATGTGACCTGCCTGACTGCGATTATCTGTGAACTATTTTTCACACGTTGCCAGCATACAAAATGGAGCATTCGTTTTCAACAAAAGCAATGCGGCGAATATATGAGCTGCTTGGCTTAGTGAGGCCACTTGCCGCATTAATTTGGTCATGTCTTATTGAGAGAGGGGTCCACTTACATTGTACTAAAATAATGAACAATAATATCCAGAGGCGTCGATCGAATGTCGGTCTCATGACTTCATCACTTCTCCAAATGATGTTGTATGTATTTTCCTTGCCGATGCGCTTTGGGCCACTCACTGGCACATGTGTGAAAGTCTGCAAAAAAAAATGTGAAAAATGCGCATGATTAAAAAGGAGGTTCCTCTAAAAATGTTTAAGCCAATTAAAACAAGCCAAGTGAATTTTCACACAGAAACCCAACAGACGTTGCCAGGGCAAAATCCACACGTTGAGGGTCAACAAGACTCTCACCATAAAAAAAAAAAAATTAAATAAAAAATGAAAAAAGAAAGGAAAAATGAAAAAATTAACAACTGTTTGCACATAAAATTAATTAATTTTCAACAAAAAACTTTTTATTGCATAACGTTAGGCGGATTAACTACAGACGGACCAGGGACCGACCAGGGCTGGGTTTTATAGAGACATCAGACATCAGTGGATTTTCGACAGCATTTTGTCTGCAGTGTTTGAAGTGCAGCGCAAACAAAACGACAAATGTTACGAGCCGAAACGTGCGCATACTTTTCTCAAACACTGTACACATGAAGGCTGCCTAGCATGTGTGTGCTTGTGTTTGTGTGTGTGTGTGTGTATGCCACAGAAAGCAAACAAAATTAGTAGCAAAGCTGACGTAGATTTTAACGAATTGACGTTGCCGTTGTCGTTCTGGCTTGCCCGGTTGCCGAGTAGCGTGGCCCGTGTCCCGTGGCCGGGTCTGTGCCTCATAACGGCAACGCCCACAATTAAGTTGCCTGCCACTGGCAACGGTTTAATTATGCATGTTTCTCAATATCTGAGAATGTCAGAGTTGGAAGTTAGAATGACAGAGAGGTAGCTGCCCACATTGCAACTGATTGGACAAGCAAAGTCAAAGTCGGATCTAAAGTTGTACAACATGTTTTTGGTCAGCAAATTCCATTGTCTAACATCAGGCATAACAACGGCTCAATTTCTCTGTGCGGCTAAAAAGTTTTTCAGCTGCCATGTTATGTGTTCCCAAAAACATTATCTACTCAATTATGTTCAGATGTTCATACGATGATTATATAAAAAATTTGGGTTTTTTATTTAATTGAATTATTCATTTAATTTTACAAATAATTGAAAAATAAAGTTGTATCTCAGTTAAATTAATTGCAAAGTGCGGATTGCACGTTTGTGTTTCAAATTGTATTCAATTATGTCTCAAAATTGTTTCAATAATATAATTAATTTGTTTGCAATTATAAAAGTTAAATAAATTAAGTTTATATTTAAAAGTAAATAATTTATGTTTACAGGATTGCAGCGATATATGTTTACATCTATTAGTCTATATATCTCTGGGTCTATATATCTGCATCACAACTGTTCGTGAATATCTCTTCCCATTTTATGTCAATATTGTTGTTGTATTCCTATTCTGTTTCCAGTCAATCTCAAACCACTTTCAATTACATTTCATTTATTTTCCAAGTTAAATTGGTTGGGAATTAGTTCTGGGAACCACACAAATAAGTAGATATTACAAAGTTGCAATCCGTTGGGTTCATGTTGCGCATTTAATTTGCTGCTGAGTAAGAAATAATGCAACCATTAGGCGCATTCAACATAATAGCTGCAACCAACATTACTGCAGCAGTAACAATGTCAGGAGTGGGCAAACATATCACGCGATCAATTTGTCAAACCAGCAGCAACATTATAAATGAACTTAGCAATACATTGAAGAACGCACTGACAAACTGAACAAATTGGCGATGGACAACAGTAGACTATTGGAGAGCCCAACTGCCAAAACACAAACAACATTGTGGCCAACAAAATTGACAGAAACAGCGACAGCATTTGACGCACATCATCAATATGTGGCTCACTGTGTGTGTGGGTGTGTGTGTAATCTAATGCTATTGCTGTTGTTATTGTTGTTGTCGTTGAGCTTATGACATGTCACACAACTGTCATTATGCAAGAGGAGCCCTCGCAAACAAGGCCAGTGGAGTAACTATTACATGGCAATTGTTTGTCAGCCGAACAGAAATTGAGCCCAGTTGGGCTCGAAAAAGGCAACCCTGACGGCCTGTCACTGTGTGCGTGTGTCTTTGTAAATGTGGCAAAAGTTTAGGTATACCATGTAGAGAAGACATGAACGCATATAAATCAAACATATGCCATACTAAAACGCTGTTCACAGAAAGGCAGACTGGCCATTAGCGGCAGGTGTTGTTTTTGAGGCCGAAAGCGTTAAACTGTAGCCAGGGCGCATTTTTCTCACGTCCTTGGGCAAGCTGTTGGCAAATACTAAAACCCGGCTGGCCTTTTATTTATGGCCGAAATGTGAAGTTTGCTTGTTTATTGGCTTTGAAGAAGGTGCAAGAAAATGTTGTGTATAAACTTTAAAACAAAATTTTCAACAAATCCTAGCTTTTGGTCACTTATATAACAATTGTTATATAACATAAATAAAATAAATCCCATCAACTGTGGCCCACTTGTTTAAAACAAACCAATTATGGCAGCTTACGAGCCTTCATTTCCATTTTGAAATTAACCGTAAAGCGCACAATTTATAACTAAAACCTCAATTAAAATAAAAGCCTGCAACACTAATCGAAAGATTTTCAAAGAATATATATATATACATATATATACACACATATAAACGATATATCTTTATAAAAACCATATAAAATATATTTCATAATATCAACAGCAAACAAAAAAGCTGCAAAAATGTAATTGCCACAATTTTAAAGCCACAAGTGACCAGCAACAACAACAACTACATATACAGGCTAGCATGCAACTTTATAATGATCATCAGCACCAGCAGCATCATCATTATCATCATTGGCATCATCATCGGCATCATCATGATGCGGCAATGCAACCAATGCATAAACAATAAATGCCAATGGTACGTACATTTTTGCCAATTTACCGCAACAATGCAAAACTATCTGAGCTAGTCAAGTAGGCTGAAACTGGGCGTGGCATGCGTTTTGTTTGCATGTTGTCTGTTACGTTGCAAAGTTGCAAATGTGTTGCACACGAATATTTTTCGGTTAACCGCCAAATAGCAAAAGCCGTGCTAACGGAGCGGGATGCACTGCATTTGGGGATGGACAGCGCAAACAGTTGGCAGACAAATTAAATTTACATGAAACTCCTAAAAGTCGCTTGCAATGCGAAAACAATAAAAACCAATGCAAACATGCCCGAGTGTGTGACTAACAGATATTCTTTGAACGGAGTAAACTACAGCATAAATTTAAATATATTTTCCGGGAAAACAATAATTTCTTACTTACGCACAGTTTCTGGTTTTGGTTTGCTAAATAAAATATATCCGAGCCAAGAATATGCATTTTTCCAATTATTTACATATTAAGTCATAGTAAGGACTCTGATAATTCTGCACGACATACTCGTATTTTTTAAAACCTAGGCGTCAACTTTTTTTGTTTGATACATTTTGCTTAGTGTGACATTTGCCTGCTTATATCACTCTGCAAACAACATTGTAATGTGTACACAGATAAATTTAAAAATAAATGCATAACAAAATCTTTCCTATCCCGTTTAAATGTCCATGCGAGTTCATCCGTCGCTTTAATTTGCATCGCCTACTTATAGGGAATCGCCAATTGCTTTATCATAAAGTGCCTGCGAGCCTGTGGTGGCATTTGAATCGATGGGTCTGCCGCTTGTCGCACAGTCATGCAGAAATGTTCCTCCACTGCGGCTGGCTCATTGATTGTGCAAATGAAATGGGCGAGATGCACAAATAAAAACACAAGCCCAAAATATCTGCAATTTTTTGTATTGTATACATTAAGGCGTCCATTTTTTTAGCGTAATTAAATTTTGTGTTATTATTTGCTTTTAATTTCGTAAATTTTAATTGCACAGCGGCTCGAGCTAATGCGGCCCGTTCTAATTTATGACGACGCCTACAAACAGGCAGCATGATTTAAGCAGACTCTTTTATAGGTAAATTATGCAACCGACTTTTATCCACCAAATTAAATAATTTAAGGCTTTAAAAACATAATGTATTTTTATACAGCATTAAGTATATTCGCTTTTAAGCGCCTAAGGGTTTCCTTGTTTTGTACTAAATAAAGTCCTTTAAAATGTAATATTAATCTAAATTAGGCATAATCGTTGCTTATAGAGAAAAAGGAAAGATGTAATTTTCATATGTCTTCTTTGGGTCTGCTTAGAGCTTATAATTAAAAGCCATTTACAATAAAAAGCAATACTTATTACTATAAAATTCAATTCAGCCCACGAGCCTTTAACTAATCAGAAAAGTTTCTCTGAATTCTTTTTCGATTTTTCACAGTATGTGAATAATATAAAATATTTGTCAAATAGTAGCAATATTCATTATAGTTACACTTTGATTCTAGCTAAAAATCTTGCTACAGCTGAAGCAAGACAAATCAATTTAATGATATTTAATTATCAAAATATAGTTCTTAAGCTCTCTGTGTTTTTATTTAATACCTGCAACTGTACTTTAATAGCCTTTGAAAGTGATTCGAAGAAACTAAACCAAACTAATTGTATTGTTTGCCACAGTTTTGCCACGCTGACACCTGCAACCGGCTCCATTTCGATGGCAAGAGCTATGTGAAAACAATGCCCCCGGCTGACACTTGTTGGGGGGCACCTTAATCAAAGGCTTCACTAAGCTGTGGCCGTCGCTACAAGCAGCAGCAGGAGCCGGAACAGGAACAGGAGCAGGAGCTGAGCCAGAAACTAGAAACTGAAAGCAGGCAACAGCCAGGGCAACAAATGTAAAGTTAAACAACTTCGACAGTGTTGCCAGAGTTCATTGTTTTGGCATGCGGGTGACTGTGGGGTGAAGCAGGCGAGCCCCGCCCGCCTGATGAGAGGCACTGTGTTGCAACCACCAGCCCGACGGCACTATCACAATTTCCACATCGACGCGCTGCACGTCTGCCGATCGGCACTTTTAGCAAATTTTTCTTTGTCTTTTGCATGCGCTGCCACAGAGCAAAAGGG